CTCTCTCTCTCTCTCTCTCTCTCTCTCTCTCTCTCTCTCTCTCTCTCTCTCTCTCTCTCTCTCTCTCTCTCTCTCTCTCTCTCTCAGTCCGATACTAACCTGTGAAGGTGGCGCCTTAATGCAGGTACCTCGAAGATGAAGCTGCAGCTATGGCGCCACCGTCACAGGTTCGTATCGGACTGAGAGAGAGAGAGAGAGAGAGAGAGAGAGAGAGAGAGAGAGAGAGACAGAGAGAGTTCTACCTCTTCCTCTTCTAAGTCCACCATCTCTTCTTCACCCTCTCACTACCTGACTTCTCAGTATCTGTGGACTACGAGAGAGAGAGAGTTGTGACTTTGGGACTTCACGACATTGGATCCAGACTCAACATTGGGATTCAGACATTTGACGAGGGATTATTTGGGGCCTGTGCCGAAGACTTGCTGTTGACGACATTCCCATCTTCCCCTCTTCTTCGTCTGTGTATGGTTGGGGACTGGTGCATTCTTCCTGTGTGAGCGCCAGGCCCCTTCACACCATGGAATGATGATGATGTATGTTTGGGGCTGCATTGCAACATTGATTGCTCGGATCATTGGTATCTAAGTCTTCCGCTACGCTATCTTGTACTTTGTGAGAGAGATCTGTTCTTGTTCTGGTCTGCACCTTCACAGTATGCAACAGTTTGGTATCGGAGCGGACCTCTCAATCAGAGGACCCGCTCAATCAAGTACCCAGCTTGCTTGATCTATTGATTGTTTATTAGTAAATCAAGTAGGACTTCGTCAAATCTCTGAATTTTGTTTTTCTTCTTTCTTTCTCGCAACAAATATCTGAAAATTTATGATAAGAGCATTTCGTTTTATATGAAAATTTCTGATATTAGCATTTCGTTTTGACGCAACAAATATCTGAAAATTCCTGAAAATAGCATTTCGTTTTATCTAAAATTTCTGATATTAGCATTTCGTTTTCACGCAACAAATATCTGAAAATTTATGAAAGTTGCATTTCGTTTCTCTGACATTAGCATCCGAAATTTTTGATATTTGCATACATAGCCGAAAATTTCTGATGTTAGCATTTCGTTTTTTAGGCATATTAGGATAAAGATAGAGGTGGTCATATTCTTGAAAACCGGATTTATTCTTTTCTGAAAATCGAATCTCCATTCTATCTCGCAAATTTTTTTGGAAACTGAAATCTTGCGAAGCCTATCAGCATTTCGTTTTTAGGCATATTAGGAGGTTGTCATATTCTCAGAAACTGGATTTAGTTCTTTTCTGAAAAGCGCATCTCTACTCTATTTCGCACAAGTTTTTTTCAAGATCGCATTTTTTGAAAGCCAAAACTTTGCGGAACCTTGCCTAGATCTCGCTCATAGTACTCCTCTGAAATGCCTCACTCAGAGCAGATCGACAGATATACAAAAAAAAAAAAGGGGGGGGTGATCCTCTTCTTTCATTTTTTTTTTTTTTTTACTCCGTTGATTAGGACCGGGAGGAAAGTATAGCTTGGTTGGTTATCTACCTGCGTCTTCCCTCCCACCCAACCCTTTGCCTGCATTCCCGACACGTCGGCAGTGCCAAATCAGCAGTGCCATGTCAGCAACAGTGCCATGTTAGCAGTGCCACGTTAGCAGTGCCACGTTAGCAGTGCCACGTTAGCAGTGCCACGTTAGCAGTGCCACGTCAGCAGTGCCCCGCCACCATGACAGTCTCAGTTCTGGGCATGCCAGGCCAACTGGCCAATGAGTCCATTGCTGAGTACCGACAGCGGTTCGAAGCTCAGCTCGCACTGATCGAGGCTGCGGAACAGCGTCAGGCTGATGGCTGCCCGCCTACAGGCTGAAGCGGCGGCAACAGCTGAAAAGCAGCGGCTTCAGGCCGAAGCAGACGCAGATACCCAGGCAAGCCGCAAGGAAGCCCAGGATCTGCTACAGCGGCACGAAGCCACCAGCATCGAAAAGCTCAAGTTCTGGCATTTTGAACCATCCGAGCACCACGAAGACGCGACACCGGAAGAGCAGCACAAGGAGTTCCTGGCCAAACTCGTGACCCGGTTGGTTTACACGTGTAACCACGTGCAGTCCGAGCTGGCGAATCTCCGACGGGCGGTGCGGGACCACAAGGATCTGCACGAGGCTGCGACACGGGCACTTGATTCCCGTGTACAGGACTTGGCGCAAGTTGCACCAAGACCAGATGCTGGCGAGTCCATCAGTGCCCCCTCTACCCGCCAATTGGAGGAGCGAGTTGACCACGTAGTCGCAATGCTCGGCGACATCAGCACCTTCGCTGCACCAACCACCATCAGCAAGCAGCTGGACACCTTGAAAATCGAGGTTCAGCAACTGCACCGGCTGCCCAACAAGGATGGCAACACCAGTGCGCAGCACTACAAGATGCCGATATTCCAAATCGAAAAGTTTGATGATTATACGCATCAAGACCCGGTCCCCTGGTGGGAGGGCTTTACGACGCAACTTCGGATTCTTTTCGTCCCCGAGCACTCGTACATCGGCTCACTGTTCCTCAACTCAAAGGGCGGATGCCAGCTCTGGCTCAGCCATCTGGCAACCATTCACGGCGTCGAGGTCGCCGATCTACATGAGAAGATCTTTTGGGAAGAGTTGACGAGGCTATGGAAGAAGCGGTTCATCGTGGATGACGCAGCGGCGCTCACCATCAACCGCCTCTTCGTCATGACCCAAGGCAACACATCAACACGTGACTGGCTCACGGGATGGCAAAAGATCGCTGCAACGCCCAATCTTGAGTTGCCATTTTCGCATCTGCATCGGGAGTTCTACAACCGGTCATGTGCCGCCTTGAGCCTCGCACTTGGGGATCGCGAGCAATACACGACCTTCGCCGAAATCATCGACAAGGCRAGGGAGATCATCAAGACCAACAGGGCGGCTGCACACGAGAAGTCAGCGTGGCAGCCAACCTATGTGGAGAAAAGAAAATTTGGTCCGCGTCTGCAGCATGTCGCTGCAGTCAACACGGACAACATTGTGGAAGACACGACAGCCACCCAAGCATCACGTGAGGGAGATCAGGTGGCCGCTGTCCAGCCGCGAAGCAACAACAACTCCCGAGGAAAAGGGAAGGCGAAAACTGCATCGCCAGCCAGAAATGGACAACCAGGCCGAATACAAGTGGCGCGGTCGGTATGGCTCCTGCTATTGGTGCAACAGCACCAAGCACTAGACCTCCCAATGCCCGGATCAAGGCAAGGAGGATGTTCGGCCTCGCATTAACTCGGGAAACTGAGTTGCACGGGAGGTGAGGCGACTCCACCTCTCACTCCGCCAGATTCGGCCGCCTTGCTAGCAGTCTCCTACACGTCTGGGGAGGATGCGAAAGTCGCAAGTCCTCGGTTCACTTACGGGGATTGTGTTGTTCACTTGGTCCCACCGTTGGACCAACCACTCCACGTGCAACAATCCACCGCATGCACGCTTTCATCACCATCGGCAACCGATTCGGCAGCTTCGCCGCCATCTATCGTCGGGGATTCGACGTCATGGTCAAAACTTGAAGAACTCGACCCGTTGCCGTTTGCGGACTTCCAATGGATGCCCCTTCCCCCGTCCGGTCGATTGTCGAAACCGCATTGCAACGTGCTCATGGCACAATTGCAGGATTACTTGTACACTGCAGTACCAACTCCGTTGATGGACACTGGAGTAGAGGTTGTTGACCTTCACGACTACGTTGCGAAGATCGACCACGAGTTCAAACACAACGGTACGACGACATCGACACGCCATTGTTGTACATACGCATTCAGATCGGAGAGGCAAACTGCAGCGCTTTGATCGATTGCGGAGCTACTCACGACTACACGAGCCAAGACTTTATGGTACACGCTGGCCTTGGGCCACGCGTTCTGAGGAAGTCGCAGCCCACGCAAGTCACGTTGACCGACGGTCACACGCACAAGTCAATCGACCGGTGCATTGATGTCGTCCCCGTGTACTTTGCCCCGCATGCAAGCAAGGTCGTGTCCTTCGACATTTTGGACACCAAGTTCGACATGATTTTGAGCATGTCATGACTGCGAAGCGAGGATCACCCAGTGAACTTCTACCGTCGCACCGTTCACGTGCGTGACTGGAACGGAGTACTAATCCCATGCATTGTGCCTCTTCCTCACCCTTCGATCAGCTGCCACGTGGTGTCCGCCACAAGCATTCGAGCTTCCATCATCAAGGATGACATCGAGGAAATGGGTGTGTGTTTTTTTCACGCCAACCCGCCCCAAGACATCCCATCAACGGACTCATCACCGGACCCACGCATCATCGAGCTTCTCGACGCCTATGACGACGTATTCGAAGCCCCACACGGAGTAGTACCGGATCGGCCCATTCGCCACGAGATCATCCTCGAGGCCGGGGCCGTACCTCCGCGTGGTTGCATCTACCGCATGAGTGAGGAAGAGTTAAGTGTGCTACGAGCACAACTCGACGACCTTCTCGAGAAAGGCTGGATTCGGCCTAGCTCCTCGCCATACGGCGCTCCCGTTCTCGTCGTCCGAAAGAAGAACAACGATTTGCGGTTGTGTATCGATTATCGCAAGCTCAACGCGCAAACCGTCAAGAATGTCGGCCCTCTTCCATGCATCGACGCGACGACGACCTCCTCGAACGGCTGGGTGGCGCCAAGTTTTTTTCCAAGCTTGACCTCAAATCGGGATATCACCAACTCGAGATCCGGCAGGAGGACTGCTACAAGACCGTGTTTAAGACGCGATATGGGCATTTCGAATGGTTGGTTATGCCTTTCGGCCTTACGAATGCCCCGACCACATTCCAAGCGGCTATGACAACGAAGTTCCGACACATGCTGGATAGATTCGTACTCATCTACCTCGACGACATCTTGGTGTACGGTTGGAGTTTGGACGAGCATATGGGGCACCTGCGCACCGTTTTGGAGCGGCTACGACAAGCCAAGTACAAAGCCAACCACGACAAATGCGAATTCGTGCGACAAGAGCTATTGTACTTGGAAACGCCGCAAGGCATCCGTCCGCTTGCGGACAAGATCGAGGTCATCCGCGTATGACCCGAGCCCACCAACACCACGGATATTCGTTCATTCATGGGGTTGGCAGGCTACTATCAACGCTTTATCACCGGGTACTCAAGGATTGCCGCACCTATGACGAGATTACAATCACCACAGGTGCCATTCATATTCGATGACGATGCACTCCGGTCATTCCAAGCACTCAAGACGGCCATGCTCATGGCACCCGTCCTTAGCATCTACGACCCCACCCTGCCAACGAGAGTGACAACTGATGCTTCCGGTTATAGCATTGGGGCAGTCTTGGAACAACACGACGGCGACGACTGGCACCCCATGGAGTATTTCAGCCACAAGGTGTCTCCCATCAATTCACTTGATGATGCAAGGAAGAAGGAGTTGTTCGCATTCATGATGACTCTCAAGCGATGGCGGCACTTCCTCCTTGGGCGTCGTAGGTTCACATGGGTCACGAACAACAACCCATTGACCTACTACAAGACGTAGGATACGGCGAGCAGCACGATCGGACGATGGATGTACTTCATCGACCAATTTGACTTCACACCGAAACATTTCACCGGCCTCGCCAATGGCGCAGCACATGCACTCTCGCGAAGACCTGATCTTTGCGCTATGGCACATCATGCCTTCGCATTCGACGAGGAACTCCAGCAACACTTCATCAAGGGTTGTGAGTCTGACCCGGATTTTGCCACGTTGTATGCGCAACTATCTTTGGATCACCCGTCGGCCAGCCATTATCGCATTGTCGACGGGTACTTGCTCCTCCACTCGCGAGGCAATGACTTATTGTGTGTCCCATACGACCGTCGTCCTCGGATTCGCCTTCTCGGTGAGTGTCATGACTCGTGACTCGCCAGCCATTTGGAAGTCAATCGCACTATTGCACGACTTCGGCAACGATTCCGATGACCAGACCTCATTACCGATGTCACTCGGTATTGCGACTCTTGCGAAGTTTGCCGACGAAGCAAGCCCCGCAACCGCAATCCCTACAGCGAGTTGCGCCCGATGGAGAGAAGGTTAACCGACCGCCCATTTTTCAGGTCAATTTATAAGAAAACCATAAGGCCATTTCAAGCAAACTCCACACCAATGTATAGAGTGCACTTCTTACTAACATATTTAAAAAAAAAAAAAAAAAAA